GCCAGTCAAGTGCTTTAGTTCTTGACCCACTCTGCTTACTTTAAGTTTTCTTGCCTTTGCCTCTGTCTTATTCCATGTGCAGGAAACCTGACTCCTATGAATTACATTGCCAGGCTCTTTGATCTTTTAGCCTCTAGTTGGGTTTATTCTAAGGAAAGTCTTGACAGGACATTAGATGGTAGACAAAGGAAAAAAACTGGAAAGTTTGTTCATCTTCCTTCTTTACATGTCAAACCACAGTGATTTACCCATAACCAAGTTCATTCATCAGAGACCACTTCTTCGGTGACTTTTCTTCTCTCAGCTACATTTTTGGCCAGGTTTTGCTAAGCAATCTAAGGAAAAACAGATTTTCCCTTAGCTATGCCCATCATTTTGTAAATAAATCTCTTATTTAATCTCTTCAATGATTATTTAAAGTAGTGTTTTCTGATTACTCCATGTACTGACTTTTACAACAGAGATTGTAACAGATTAAACACAAGGAGAAAATTTATAACATTGATGTATTTCCAGTGTAAGGGGATTAAGACTTAAATTAGCATGAAGTCATCAAGAATAAGAAAAATAGGAGAATCTTAAAATATGTTAGAAAATGATAGCAAAATATTTAATGTTTGATTTGGTAGATTTGTTAACTTTCACATTTTACAAAATTAAGCTTCCAAATGGAGTCATTTGTAGAGCAAGGGCCTTAAAAGATGATTTTATTAGATGTTTTTTCTAAATCTTATGTAACTCTGTAATAAATCAATTCTAAGCTCCAGTTTTGTTGATTGTTCTCTATAACTTCATATACCTTTGAAAATACTGGCAAAGCCTTTATAGTTATTCCTAAATAATAAATTAAAGGGATGAATAAAAGAATACTGGGATCCAGAATGTAAATCTTAGAGGAGAAATAATAGAGAACTAGAACATCACTAGTGAAATGTGTAACACCAACCCCCTGTGTAAGACTATGTTGATTCTGCCACTACCCCAGTGTTGCACCCTTCTATCATACTATGAGATTTTACAAAGGACGAGAGCCCTCTTTCTGAGCATATTGTTCTTATATGCTTAAAATCAATTAGTCAAAACTACAAAATTTCAATGATTTTCTCTAAGAATGTAGTTGTTCAACATGATAAATTCTACCCCAGAAATGAATAATCAAGAATATTTTAATAGAGTATCTCAAACTGTGAGGCAATATTTAAGCCAAAAAACATGTTCTGGATTCCCACCTTTTTTATTTGTCATAATGACTATGAACCTTAGCACGATAGCATCCAACTGGACTAAAAGGGAGAAAATCCAAAGCTAATATTTCTTTGATTTGTTTTTTGCCTAATATCAATTCTTTTCATTGAAAAAAGATAGTCTATGCAATAAAAATTAGGAGACTATTACTTGAGTACAATGCTGGAATTAGTACAATAAATAATGCTGCCATACAAAATAGAAACCTAACTGCAATAAGCAGCTTTAAAATAGGCTTTAAATATATAAATAATGAGTACTTGTTAAACCACAGCCCACACAGCAATTTGGGTTTTCTATCTTTTGTGTGTGTGCGTGTGTCCTGAAAACTTTTAAAATGAAAGATTCCTCCAATTTATTTCTTACATTTCTCTTTTAATTAAGCAAATGCAATCTCATATAAGACAACTGGCCATATTATTTTTTTCTTAAAGAGGATAGGTATCATCATTTTGAGAAAACATTGACTACTTTTTCCCCGGCACTCACCCACATTAAAACATTAGTAAGAATTTGTTAAATGTTTCTCTACTGTACCCACATTCCATTGTCATATTTTTTCACTCCATCAAATTGTATTTCACTATGCCTTTCTTGTTGCTCTGTTATGTATATATATACATATACGTGTATGTGACTACAGAACTGTTTTATATAGACATTCATATTTAAAGCTTATAGATATATATACATACACACTTATTTATAGTGTACAAGGAAATAGACAACTAAAAATAAACTATTTTCTTCATTTAGTACCAACATATTTTCTTGCATGAAAATATATAATGCTGCAGCCCAGAACATTTCTCATTTAATCTCAATGTATGTTGAATGCTTCATATGTTAATGGAAAAATAAATGCATCATTCATTTATTCATACTTACCATTTAAGAATAACACATACACACACATATTTTCACAGTAGCTAAAGCAGATATTCAATTAACTCTTGTTAAAGAGATTTAGGTCTTAAAGAGCAAATGAAGCACACTGCTAAATTATAAGATGAGTCTCCAAAAAGGCATAGTAAGAGATTTTTCATTTGTTTGGATTTCTTTTACTTTTTTCATTGGTGCTGTTTGTTGTATTGAGGAAGCTCCTCACTTTCTCAGAAGACTAACTTTAGAGTAGGTTTGTCCTTGGTATGTTTTCTTTGCTTTTCCTAGAAATGGTGTTTGTGTTTGATATTGTGTGGGAAGCTTACTTACTATGCAACAACTCCAGAAAGGATTTATAAAATGATTTAGAGCCAATCCTGTTCTTTACTGCTGATGCCAAACAAGAAATCTGGGCAAATGGACTCATTTCCTTCACTTGGACTTGATACATGCTCTATACATTTAGCTGTGTGATATCTTCTAAAATAAGATGTTACCTTTCTGATCACCATAAATCGATAGGGAATAGTTGATAACAGAAGTTTCTGATGGATGGTCCTACATAAGTACTTGTCTAGTATGCAAATTGTCCCATATCTATAGATGATATACAATACAATTTCAATCTGTAATTAAATAAGATGACATTCATTTGGAGCTTATGAGATCAATCCCGGTAGAAGCAGAGCCCTGTCTTTTCTTAAGGGCAGTGCTAGGATGGTTAACGAAGTAAATAGGAACCCAGCAACCAGAGAAACTGACTTAGATTCAGGTATCAGCACCTTCATTTACCAGTTCCTTTTACCTCTCTTAAGCTGCCTAAATCTTAGTTTCTTCATCTGCAAAGTTAAGTCTAGTACCACACAATAGAGTTCTTAAAAATATGACGTAAAACTTGGATTTCTCAATACAGGACTTCTCAATCTAGTAATTGTCATTTTTTTGGGGCCAGATAGCTTTTTGTTGTGGATGCAAAGTTGCCTTCCCGCCCATTGAGAAGTGCTGGCCTACTTCTGAGGCATCCAGTTCTTCCTAGACATCAGCTGTAGTTACTGCTGACTAGTTAAAAAGACTGCTGCTTTTAAAATGCTAATTGGCATATTTTTACAATAACTTCACATTACTCACAGAAGTTAATTGAATCTCTCATGGACTGAGATTTTTAAAAAGTGATCATTAACTTTTTGAGCCCATATTTAAGATGTAATTATTTCCTTTGCTTCTAAAGTGATCTAAATTGAATATTTCTGAGACTCTCAAAACTTTCTGCAAATTTTTACTTTATTTTGAATATTTCCCAGCCTAAGATGAAAGACTCATAATGATCACCCATCACCATGATTCACCCAATTGTTAATTTTTTACCACATTTATTTTATCTTTCTGGAATGAATTCATACACTCAAAGGGAAGGGGTGGGAATAATTTGTATAAATAGCTTACATGTGATTCATTATGATAAGTTATCCTTTTCATTCTTTCATCCAATTCTACCTATCATTTTAGTGACTTGTTCCATGTTCATAAGAATATACAGATGATTGAGTTGTGTGGCATTTGGATTTTTACGAACAAATTTGGATTCAAAATAACTAAAATGCACACAGTCACAGTATAGGGTCTGAGATGAATTTTTGGCTAGATCCTTTATTATTGATACAGTCAATGACTTAATTTTTCATGCATATTTAGAAATTTATTTATTTATTTTTGAATCACACTGAATTCTCTCATCACATTTGGCCTATGCTAATAAACATAAAAAAATCAATAGATTTGATGTATGTACTTTAAGTTGACAGCATAAATTTGCCCAGCATTTTAATGATAAGGCTATAAACTTCCCTAAAAAGAATGAATTATATTTGAAACATTGACAGTTTTTTTTTCAGTTGGTACTAAATGAGGACTATGCCAAACATTAATTGTTATTCTCTAAAATCTACTCAATGAAAAAGCATGTATTACTGGAGCAGTTTTCATTAATGAACTGTTTCTTAGGAATTTTAAAAGGTAAATCTGAAAAATCAATAGAGAAAAATAGAGTATTTGTAAAAATTAGGAAATTTTAATTTTCTGAAATTTATTATTTAATAATTTTGAGAAACTAGAAGCACAAAGGAAACACCAACTATTTGAAGCTACTCAAGCCCAAACCACCAGGTTTACATTTTATTTGCCCAGTAGAACCCTGGAATGTCTTGAATGAAAAATTCACATCTGTGATACTCAATTCGTGTTTATATTTATATTCATTCTTACAATAAAGGCATAATTATAAAGCAATCTTAGTCTGCAACTAAATAGTTTATAACCATTAAATCTCTGTAATATATTATTTGCCACACTTTCTCTCTACTTTTAGCTCTGCTTATCTTGCAATAAAAAATGTTCATACAATCTTGATGATCAAAATGGCTTAACTTAGTTTCATAGTACTCTATTTTCAGGTAGTAGAAATGTTTCATCCTTCATATATAATTTAATCATTTTAAATGTGAGACAATATTGATCAGTGACCTTTAGATTTAAGAATTTAAGAATTGGAAGGAGATTATATCTCCCAATTATAAATTTTAGAATGTTGGATGTTACTTGTCTCTGGTGAAGCAGCCTTCCTCTAATGGTGAGCAGGATCACATTCATTTTCCTCTCAGTAGTTGAACCTAGCTAAATCTGAGCAAAGTGAACTCCAGCACCAATCTTGCATTCTCTTAACCGGTAATAAAGAACCTTGTTGGCCTGACAGGTTGTCACAGCAATTATTCACATGAAGTTCTGTAGCAGTTGTATCTGTCAGCCCATGTAGTATTGAATATTTTAACTGGCAGTCTTCCAAGACTGAGCATTAATCTTACCATCTCCTGTTACAGTCCCTAATCAAGATATTCCAGGGGTGATTGCACTAACATTGTTTGAAGACTACATCTACTGGACTGATGGGAAAACCAAGTCACTCAGCCGTGCCCATAAAACCTCGGGAGCAGACAGACTCTCACTGATTAACTCATGGCATGCCATCACAGATATCCAGGTGTATCATTCTTATAGACAACCTGATGGTAATTATTCTTTCCATGATTTCCATAAATCCATGACATCTTTCAGTAACATCTTGTTTTTTTATTCCTTCAAGGTTAAATATAATTTAATTTTAGAGAAAGATGACCAGATTTCATTATGCAGCATCATTTAATATAATGAATTCAGTTGATATCAAGTACTGCTATTAAGGGATAGAATTAGAAGCTCAATAAGAGCATAAAGAATTATTGATTTGTTCAAATCATATTAAGCTGAAATGACAATAGCATATGCACTTAGAGAAGTGAAATACTTTGTTTACACATAGGATCTTTGGTTTCTGGAATGTTGGGAGGAAGGATTTTTATTTAAATAGTTATGGGGTCTAAAATGACAAATATATCAAATTTCTTTAATTGTATATCTAATAGGATTCTACCAGGTCTTGTGGAATAAAGATTTGGTCATTTTAATGAAAACACATATCTGGCCTACAAAGCAAAGTCCCTGTACTATTAGTTGAAGACCATTGTTTCATTTTTATGTTTCTACACATATTTATGTCTTCACCTAAAATGTTTCTAGTTTCTGTTTATTCTCTTGATAAACATTTTTGCTACTAATATGCTTGCTTGAGGGGAAAGGATCTTTAGTGATTTAATAGTAAAATTAACATTAAGGACATTGAACAGCATTTGTAAAAATATACTTATACTCATAATCTTGGCATGTTCTTGATTATGAAAATTTATCAAGATGCAAAGAATGAAAATTAAATGCCCTCTCTCCTCTTATGTTATATTATTGGTCTTGATTATTCTGTTTTTCTGTTCTTGTTTCTTTTTATCTGTAGTCACCAAACATCTCTGCATGGTAAATAATGGTGGCTGCAGTCATTTGTGCCTTTTAGCCCCTGGAAAGACTCACACCTGTGCATGCCCCACCAACTTCTATCTTGCAGCTGATAACAGGACTTGTCTATCTAACTGTACAGCCAGCCAGGTGAGTAGAGCTCTAGAAATCATCTCCTGGAATGTACAGGCATGTTTTTATAAAGGTTGAGCCTGAGTTTGCTTATGTGCTTAAAACATTCTTGAAACATCAATTTTTGATCATTGTTCTTTATAAGGGAAGGAATGTTCATTGTATAGATGGTCCCAGAATAAGGGAAAAGCAATTTCATACATATTCTTAAGTGGAACTTTAGGCAGTAAGGTATAAATAGAGGCCAGGAAGGAAAGGAAGCAAAAATAAAACCCAGTCTTACCTGATTCACACAGAATAATGATTCCAATTTAAGTCAGGAGAGCAGCAGGATCAGAGATTTGCACAATTCAGATATGGTCAATGCACTTTGCATATGTGCATGAAAGCAGAATAATGAAACCATTGAAATTGTTCTATGAAGTAGGGAGGGGATGAAGGAGAATGATGAAGGAGGTGGATCTAATTAAGGCCCATTGTAAACACATATGAAAATGTTACAATGAAATCCTCCTGTACAACTAACTTATGCTAAGAAAACATAAAATGAAAAGATGAAGAAGGCACTGAAAAGATGACTGAAGCATAGTGTAGGCAAAAGTGTGTGGGGGTCAAGCAATCAAAGAAATCTTCCCAGAAAATCTGCTCTGCATCCCCATCCACATCTTCTTCCATTTGGATGAATTATGAACAGAGTGAAAAAAATGATCAAAATAATTTCTTCGTGAAACCACCTTTTGAAAAAAAATATTTTCAAAAAGATATTCCACAAAAATATTCTACTTCATAATGCTGTTTTTTTTTTTTTTTTTTTTTTTTTTTTTTTTTTGCAGTTCTGGGGCTTCAACTCAGGGCCTTCACACTGAGCCACTCCACCAGCCCAATTTTTTGTGATAGGATTTTTCAAAATAGGGTCTTACCAACTGTTTGCCAGGGGTGGCTTCGAACAACAGTCCTCCTGATCTCTGCTTCCTGAGTAGGTAGCTGGGATTACAGGCATGAGCCACTGGCACCCAGCATACTTCATAACTTATGAACTCAATTTTATTACTTTATTTATGTATTTATTTTTGATGAGACTGAGATTTGAACTCAGGGCTTTATGCTTGCAAAGCAGGCATTTTACTGCTTAAACCACACCTCCAATCCATTTTTCTCTGATTATTTTGGACCTGGGAGTCTTGGGAACTCCTTGCCTTTACTGGTCTTCAACTGTGATCCTATGGATCTCATTCTCCCAAGTAGCTGGAATTATAGATGTTAGCCTCCTGCGCCCAGATTAATTTTATTACTTTAAAATTTTGGAGAAAGTCACATGACATTAAAAATTGGACTTTCACCTTGCAGAACTATCTTTGATTTGAGATAATGTTGTTAAATGAGCAATGATTTATATTTTTAAAAGACTAAGTTTTTTTGGACTCTATGTTTTGAATTTGATGGCTTTCAGTTAGTAGGAGTGATTTCATAACAAAAGATGAATTTCTCTTCTAATGAGCTTATGTTCAAAACTGAGAAGTCAATATTAGGTCAGCCAACTTTCAGACTAGGAAGATGAGTATCATCCATGAATTGTGTAAATGAAAGAGACAGGCCTTTCCCAGGGAGTCAGTATTTATAATGGTTAAGAAGAGACTGAAGCCAGATGTCCTGACCCAACTTCAAACTGGCTAGGTCACCTGTGTTTGTGATCTAACTTCTTGATGTCTCAGTTTTCTCATCTTTCAATTGGGATGATACTTAGTCTATTTCTGCTGCTATGGAATCAAATACCACATGTGGATTAATTTAGTTTTTAAAGAAATTTATTTCTCATAGTTCTGGAGTTTGTGAAGTTCAAAATAAAGGGCTGCATCTGGTGAGAATAAGAGGTGAGGGAGATAGACTGGGCTCGGCTAGATAGTAAAAAAACACATGTGAAAGAGCTTGCGTTGCAAAAAATTTGTACTACAAGTATGTAAATGCAAAAATGATACCTGGTGAAAATATTCCAGGAATGGGGGTGGCAATAAAGGAGAATGGGGAATTAAAGTATGATAAATTTGATACATTGTAAGAAACTTTGTAAATGCCACAGTGTACCCCCACCCACAACAATACAGGAAAAAATAAATAAATGTTTTATGACTCACTCACACCTACACACACCTCCCTCTACCCACCAGAAAGATAAACACAGTGATCTGTTCTTGAGGATGGGGCCTTTATAATCTGATCTAATCTCTTAAAGGCCCCCTCCATCAATACTACTCTCAAGTCATTGTTATTAAGATTAAACAAGAAAACCACTTTATACCTAATAGTTGTTGTTGTTAACCTTGCCTCCTAAAGAAAGCAAAAGGAATATTCTTAAAGGGTATGTGCAATTAGTGTGTGCTGCCACCAGAAAGTTTTGATGTCAAGCTGAAAGTACAGGTCATAGACTTTGTTCTGTTTACAAATTTGTTGCTCTTATTATATTTCCCTGAGTGTTTGTTTTCAAAAATGCATTCTTCTAAAAGAACTGGAAATTTATCTCATTGTGGGAAATGAAAGCAACCTACTTATTCCTACTGTTACAATTTAAGGGAGAAATCATACCATTCTAATTTTATAATATAACTTCTATTAGTGCTGTTCAATTTAGTGGAGTTTCTGAATGTTATCCTAAATTATTCTGAAATGATTTTGGTGTCTTGCTTTGGTGTGATCTGTGAGTCAGATACTGAGGCCCAACACAGGCCAAATCTGCCTTAGTGGCAGTGGGTCTGTCTCAGTCCCGCTGCAGTTTGAGAAATCTCAGTGGCCAACTGAGAATAAAATAATATCAAAGGATGCTTTAGAACACAGATAAACATGTACATCATTGAGACACAGGTAGCAAGACATCATCCTTGTCACAATCATAAAAGGAATAAGACTTTTCACAATATTATGTAAGAACACCTGTAATTATGTTCATTCAAGGCCCCCAAATCTGACCTGTTAATTAAATAAAAATATCAGTTAACTTGAAAGTATTATTCATATAACTGAATTACTTCCTAATCTGATATCAATGACAAAATTAAAAACAAATTTTCAAATACCTCCAATAGTCTTTATTATGAATTTAAAAAAAGTAGCAAAAGAGCATAAACAAACCACAATATGAGCCAGATGTCTTTGTTTTAAGCCATACTATTTTTTGGGGGGGGTAGCACTGGGGTTTGAACTCTGTGCCTTATGCCTAATAAGCAGGTTCTCTACCACTTGAATCACTCTGCTAGTCTAGTCAAGCTTCTTGAAAAAAGAAAGGTTATGATTGTATTTGTTGGATCTTTAAGAAAAAATTTAATAAAAAGTTAAGAAAATTCACTAGTGGCTATCTTTTAAATTTTTTGGTTGAGGCAGACATCTTACCTTTGGTTCTTTTCTGATTTTGTGAGAGGAAAAAACAACTGTGTACTTCTATTTATAGAACACATTTTTTTCAGTGAAGTACACATGTAAATGAAGTGAATAATCTAGGTAATTCAGTATTAATTAATTAATTTGTATTAATCCTTCTGAAGTTAACAGAATTTAAGTATGAAAAAAAAAAAAGCCATGACACCCAGAAATGAGATACTAGAAATCTTCTTTTGATAATAAAATGTAGATTAGTATGAAAGAGTTCCATGTTTTACCCTGGCTTCTCTTAAGTGAAATTCCTTTTATGTTCTTATTAAAAATGAAATGGAGAACAAAATCATTATGTCATAAATAATTCTAATAGTTGGTATTTATTTAAGTCATATGTACTTAATGAGTTTAAAAGTATGTATTTTAAATATTGTACCAATCATAATCAGGAGTACTTTGAAGATACTTAAGAGACCTGAAATCTAGTTACTAATGTGCTTTGATATAGTGTAATGATTGGAAATATTTAATGTTCAGGGCAATTGCTTTCGGATTTAGCCTCATATCCCCAGACAGCCACTGTCTATAAAGGTAATTTTTTCCTCTGGTAATTTATGAAGATACACAACAGACATGACCACAGGCTATGCAAATATGAGAAAATCAGTGGAACAGTCAGCTCTCCCCTTAGACTCACAGTGCTCTCTTTCCTCCTGTGTTGACACTGGAAGAAAAACTCACTCTTGTATTTAATGTAATTCTACCCTGAATCAACCCCACAGTCTCCAGACAGGCTCAGCAAAAGCTAACATCAGATTACCGCTCTTTAAAAGCGAGTAGCATCAATTTGTAATGAACAAACTTTTAGATTGTGAATCTATTTCCATCAGAGATAATTGAACTGAGGCTTTATTTTCCTGTTACAAATTTTTCTTGCATGTTGTAGACAACAATAAGTGCTAGCTCCCTATCAATCACTCATGCAAGAATTAAAATCTTTTAGCAAAGAAAAAAAATAACTTTTAGAAAATTTCAGTTCAGTTGTTACGTTTTTCACTGTTTCTATAAAAATGAACAAGAAAACAATTTGATAGTAGAAGATATTGACTAAATTTTATTTATTGTTTTTTAATAATTTCAAGTTTATCATTTAATAGTAACTACCTCAGATGCATGTGGTCTCTGTTTGTAAAGTGTGGTTTTCTTTTTCGTTTTTTCCCCATCTTAATGTTTTTGACAATGGCTGCATGGAATCTTTTGTATAATTTTAATGTTGATGACAAAGAAATTAATTTGTGGTCAGAGATCACTAAAGAAAATTTGACTAAGATTTTTTTGGTTACTCTGAACAGGTGGTGAGTAGTGAAGTTGGTAGAAGTGTCACTTCTGTGCTTAGGCTCTCTGGATGAGTTTGGGTTCACATCACCCTCCTTATAAAAAGTATACAATAGTAACTGTATGAAATTTTTCTCTAATAACTAGCTACCTGTGTGCTAAATATCATATAAGTAAATAGTGCCATGTAACAATCTCAAGAAATTACTTCTTCTATTGTTTAATCTTCTATTTGATTTTAAAAGTTATTAAAAAGTTCTAGTCCTATAAGTAATAAAATTATTACCTTTCTTTTGAGCATTTCTTTAGCTACCTTAAGTGGACAGGGTTATAGAAAACATAAAAATATTAGTAAATATTTTAGTAAATAGTTTTTAGATAGTCTTTATAAGTTTTAATATATCAATTTACTTTTGTGCTTCAACTTAAAAAAAAGTATATAAGAAGTCTACAAAAAGATTATTGCAGTCTTATTTTACATCTTTAAAAAATTATAATAATTTCCCTTTATTTATCCTAAAAGCTGATGTATTTTTATTAATAATTAAAAAACTACAAGTAACTATATTGACCTCCACTGTCTTAAAGAAGCATTCTAAAAATTTAGGTTGGACAGATGCTCTTCTGGTTAAATGTAGTATTTTCCTGATCTGGAAATTTCATGGAGTCACAACTTGACAGAATGAGCAAGGTCCTCCAGATTATCTTCATGTCCTCATTCTATGGCTAAAAAACACAGATTGAGTTGATGCTAACTGAATTGCCCAAGATTCTTAAGGATAAGTGATCTAGTTTAATTAATTCAAATTAGCTAAGTTAATTCCACTTTGTACCTCTTCTTGATATACCTAATCATTTTTAGACTTATTTAGTATTTGGCCAACTTTTCTCTAAAGGGCAAATAGTAAATATTTTAGGCTTTTTCGGTCACAGCTGCTATAGCAACTACTCAACTGGATTATTATATAGCAGAAGTAGCCTTACGATCACATGTAAATGAATAAGCATGTCTGTGCACAGGAAATGTCAATCAGTAGCTTCCCAGAACAATGTGCTTTCCTGGCAGGTCATTTTCTTGCTTGCTGTGCTATTCTTTATTGTGGGGGGCTCTAAGATCTCTATCGTTCTCATTTGCAGGAAGAGAGGTAGCCAGGCTGGGCTGTCCTGGTGTTTTCCTAAGCATCTACAATAGATATGTTGGTTTTTTAAACATATTTTCATTTTTTTTAAGTTTCGTTGTAAAACTGATAAATGCATCCCGTTCTGGTGGAAATGTGACACTGTGGATGACTGTGGTGATGGATCTGATGAACCAGACGATTGCCGTAAGTACACTGACAAATGCTGGCATTTAGAATTTAGAGTTCCCTATATCCCAGACCTGGAAAATTGAAGCTCTAAAGTATTTTCTGATACTTTACAACATTGGAGTAGAAAGGCTTTATTTGACAGTCTTTAAAAATATTTTTAAAATGTTGCAATATGTCTTGATTATACCTCTGATAACTGTTGCATTTACAATATTTAATGTGATGGTCAATTTTGTTACTTTTTTATTTCTCAAATTTGATTACTTGAAGAATAACTTGCTTCATTAGTAATTATTAGTGTTAATTATTGTCTAGATCTTTGACATAATATATCAAAATTGGGAACAAAAATTGGCAAGTTTTCAGAAGGTCACTACCTTTAATGTTATAAACTTAAAGCTTTCCTGACAGTACTGAAATCTTGAAAATTCTTGAGAGGTCAGATTTTTTTCTAATACTAGTCACAAGTTTCATGTTAGGCTATTTAACATGTTCTTAGCAGATGGCATAAAGTGACTACCAATTATGTGTTCTGCTGGTGATTGGCATGGTTAGGTGCTACTGTTTTAGCAATTGTTGATAACTGTGGTGGTGATGGACAATAAGCAGACTTCTCTTTGATAGCCTCATATAGTTCACTACTTAGGTCACTCCAATACTGTACTGTCAAGTTTGAAGACGCTGTAGTCAATCACAATAATTCTCTCAAAATCCCAGGGATGGTTGCCATGATTTGGCCTGGACAATTGAGTTCAAGATCCTTAAGTTTGTACTAAAGAAAGACAGTGTGCTGTGTCAGTGAAAGCTAGTAACTTACTGCTGTAGAACTTTCCACCAACTAATTATAAAGCTGTTTTAAAGTTTGGGTTTCTAGATGTTTATGTAGATGAACTGTGTTCCATCTCTCTGAGCATCACCAAGTCTATCACACTCAGTGGCTGTGACTTCATATAGTCCCTTTATGTATTTGAAAGCAGTGAGTAGTCAATTCACAGTGAAGAAAAAGTTATAAAAGACATTGCTTTTCTAATGTCATATTTATGTTTTTGAAAGATTCACTGCTCTGTAATATTTTTGAATATACTTTTCTTTTCATTCTGATTGGCAACCTATAGCATAGGATGTATATGTCATAGATATATTATGCTAGAGTTATTTTTTCTTAATTACTGAATTGAAAGGAATTTCAAAGGAATACAAAATTATCTTGGCAATCTTACTGAGATTTTTGTGTTAGAAGAAAGTTATTTAATCCTCCACAATAAAATTTCCCATTATAAGTCAATAAATATGACATATTTTTGTAATATGTACAAATAAATGAGAATGAGAATGCTAATTTAGGTCTTGTGTTAAGAGTATGCCCTGAATAATGGGATTCATTCTTTTCTAAGGAAATGTCATTTAATGACCTGTAATACGGTCAATAGCATGCAATGATTTTTCTTTTAAAATGTTTCAGTTTCTGAACTCTATTTTTCATCTTGAGTGAAATTTCATCATGAAACCAAACTGATTTGAAAAATTAGCTACAGATCCAATATAATAAGTTTTGTTCATTTGCTCATTTTCAGAATATGTGGTGATCAAATATTACGTTAGCGTTGTTTGAAATGGGAAAAAAGAGATATCTGGTATCTAACAGCTTCTTGATTATCCTTATCCTGGTCAAATACTAATATCTACATACTTTATTCTTTAATTTTATTTATATATATTACATTCAACATATTTTGATATGGCTAAATGAGGACATTTTACATGAATACTTTTACACGTATATCTTTTTTATTGTGATAACATATAAAATCCACTTTCTTAGCAATTTTTAAATATACAGTTTATTCTTACTAGCTGTAGTCATTATGATGTACAATAGATCATTTGAACTTCCTCCTCTTGTCATGTTGTTTCCTTTGACCAAAATCTTCCCAAGCCTCCCACTCTTGGGCTTTAATACCCACTATTTACTCTGTTCCCTTGAGTTTTACTTTTCAGATTCCACATGTAAATAAACCTATATAATATTTATTTTTCTATGTGTGGTTTATTTGGCTTTGCATAACATTGTCCAGATTCATGCAAATTGTCACAAATAAGATTTCCTTAATTAATACTGCATAATAGTCCATGCTGTATGCAAATCATATTTTCTTTATTCATTTATCTATTGATGAACATTTAAGCTCATTACATATCTAAACTGTCATGAATAATGCTGCAGTGAACCCTGGAGTGTAAACATCGTTTTGAAAAACTGATTTCATTTGCTACATATGTATATATATATACACCCATTAGTGGAATTACTGAATCATATGGTAATTTTTGAGGAAATTCATGCAGCTTTTCATGGTTTGTACTAACATATTTTCTTATTAACACTATGCAAACATTCTCATTTATCTACATTTTTGCCTACACTGGCTATCTTTTATCTTTTTTACAATACCCTTTCTGAAAGATGTGAGGTGACATCTTATTTTGGTTTTAATTATTTATTCCCCTTATGATTGGTGATGCTGAATATTTTTTCAAATACTTTTGGGCTATTTATATGTTTCCTTTTTAGAAATGTCTAAGTTCTTAGTGCATTTGTACAATTTGATCACTTATGTCCTCACTACTGATTTGAGTTTCTCATATATTTGGAATATTAACCCATTATCAGGATATGGTTGGAAAATATTTTCTTCCATTTAACAGGTTGCCTCTTCACTCTGTTGATTGTTTGACTATGCAAATACATTTTAGTGTGGTGTAATCCTCTTTGCCTATTTTTGTTTTGGTTACCTGTACTTTTGGAGTCGTATCCATACAAATCTCTGCTCTGTCCAATATCACAAAAATTCTCCCATATGGTTTTTTTCTCAGTAGTCCTTCAGACTTTTATGTATGATCTTTAGGAAATAAAGTTTTACTTTTAGTTGATAAGTTAACATCTTTGGACATCTGTTGGTGCAACACTTTACTGGCAAGTCATGCTAAAGTATAGAATGCCATACATGAGTCTGTAGAGTGTTTAGATTTCATTTATGAATAAAACCAGCATCAAAATTTGTTGACATTGCAAGCCACTGACAGCTGGGTATGGTGGTTCACAGCAATAATCTCATCACCAGAGAGGCTGAGGCAGCAGATTATTAATTCAAAGCTAGCCTGGGCTGCAGAGCCAGCTTGAGGTAAGCCTGGGCTGTACAGCAAGACCCTGATTTAATTAATAAAACAATAAACAACTAAAGAAAAAAGAGCCAGAATTCATAACTTCACAGAAGTCAAGTAAGTCTCATCCCAGGCTCACATATTTGCAAATTTTCATGGCATTACTTGTGAAAGTAGTTAAGAGTGATGCATCAAGTATTCTCTGGTATCCAAGAATTTAATTATCCAACGTTTAATTACATTTCCTAGATAATCTAGTACACCAAAGAAAATACTAATGACAAATATGAAGGTCAGATGGGCTTCCCAGTATTTCTCAGGCATTCATTTAATAATACTTATGCTAGTATTGTTGTGATACCATGGGAATATTGAGAGAAATTTTACAGAAGCACAGGAAGGAGTGGAAATGTAGAAGTTCAGACTATGAGAAAATTAAGTGGCATGCAATTTGAACATTTAATGTAATTACTTAAACTTTATAGATTTGAGTTAAATAATTTTCAGCATTTCAGACATAAAGCACATATTAAGATTTATTTTTAAAGAATGTTTAAATTTTAGTCAATAATGTAATTATCAAAGAATAATGTAGTTCTCAAAGAAAGTTTAAAATGTCATTTATTAATATTTGATTCACTAATTTGAGCTGATAAACAACATGTTATTAATCTCACAGTCAGTGATTAGTAACATACACTAGGATTATTAGTCAAAAAATAAGTGTTTCATTGCAAGCAGCACAGTTTTTGAGACTTCAGAGTTAGAACAGGATCTGAATTCCAATTCTAGCTCTTGGAAGTGGCCCCTCGGTGCGTGAATTGCAAAATGGCCATAATGATTCCCAAGTGAGAAGGTTATAACGGGATCAAGTTACTAAGTGTGATGCAGTATAGCCCAGTACTTGGTACAGAGTAGATTCTTAGTAGCTGTTACTTAATTATTATTATTATCCTTATGTAACATAAAACAATGTTTGAAGAAAAACTGTATTAGCATTTGGGAGTTAGTCATTATAATAACATGTGCATGGTATGTAAAATATTTATCATATAGAAGATACTGTCCTTATATTTAATAGTATTATAGGAATATATATCAGTAAATATGATTTAAATATGACAGCTACAAGATGCACATCACTGGTGCTACAGAATGTTGTGAGGACAAACATACACATTATAGGCAACAAAGTGAGTAAGGAGAAATGATTGTTTAAATAAAATATTAGAATAAAAGCTTTTTATTCCAATAAGTTTTATTCTGCCACCTAACTTCTCAATACTACTTCACTTAAATGAAGAGTTGTTATATGCTTTTTGAAATAGAGTTTTCATAGTTATATGTTGAGGGTTCCTTCTCTCTTAACAGTTAGTTTGTTAAATACAAATTGGAAGCCATCTGAGTTGATCACAGCCTAGCTGTACATCTGAATCTAATAGCTCTCTAGATGGTCAACATTCACATTGAGCTCCAGCATATGGTTGATAAAATAATATAATAAGCATTTTGAATGTCAGAAAAGTTCTGTTCAAGAAGCTATGAAGTGTGATTGCCATCTTGTACTGCCTGTATATTTTCTCTCCTAGCTGAATTTAAATGTCAACCAGGCCGATTTCAGTGTGGAACTGGACTCTGTGCTCTGCCTGCTTTCATCTGTGATGGGGAGAATGATTGTGGAGACAATTCTGATGAACTCAACTGTGGTAGGTGATTAAATTCCCAATTAAGGAACATACGTTTAATCTTAACTGGTAATGTCTGCACTGATTTAAATTCAGACACAGGTCTCACATAAGTTTTTTTTTTTTTCTCCTGTACTCTCTCTTTAAGACACACATGTCTGCCTGTCAGGTCAATTCAAGTGTACTAAGAACCAGAAATGTATCCCAGTAAACCTCAGATGCAATGGACAAGATGACTGTGGCGATGAAGAGGATGAAAGGGACTGTCGTAAGTCACTCAGAATATTTTGTATTATCTTATATTTGATTCCCAGCTGAGACTGGTCTAAAATTATTATTCATCTCACAACTATATAATAGAAAAACAAGACAATTATGGGCAAATGATTATTAATAGATGCCAACTAGGAAGTATTATTTAAGAAAGGCTGTATAAAATACAGAGAAAATGAAAATGGTGACCTTTACTGTAAGAGAAGCATCAAAACCACATTACAGTTGGTTTTTTCCATAAATTGATTTTTGCCTATTAAATAAATATAGGTAATTTATTTCTATTGGCTACTTAGTTTCTTGAAATCAACTCCATTTTCATTATAAATTTCCCCATGAAATACCTATTGAAGCTGTGACAGAAATACAAAATCTAGGCAAAATATCCTAACAAAATTACTTACCAAAAACTAAGTAATTCTCCAATGAATGAATCTTAATAGGCTTGAAAGAATAATAGTGAAATATTTTTGTTCTGTTTCCTTTGTATTTCCATCTCTTTCCTCAAACCAGATTTGAGGTATATGTATATGCATAGGTGAGCATAGACAGGCATATATGCACGTGTGTATGCACACACTCACACAAAGGCAGGATCTGAAGGATGGAGCACCTGTCAAGTTTCAGCTTTTCAACAAAACAGCTGTCAACATTTCTGTCTTGCAGAAGTTTTATTTTATTCCTCTAAGACTTTTGTCAGTAAATAATGTGCAGTCATCCAGCAATTTGATTAAGGTGCTGTATTCAGAATAAAGTCCGTCCCAGTTCTTTATGGTTAGCCATTCTAGAAGCTGATCCATTAAACTGACTAGGATTTGTGATGCAGTTTACACTCTGAGTCAGATGTTCACTACTTCCCTCAAAAACTGAACACAACTTCTAGAGATTTTGATTAAATTTTAAGCTTCTTATTTCCTTGTTTATTTAATGGCTTCTAATTTTAGTCTTTTCAGACTTACAGAGATGCACCTTTATAAATTCATAAATTTATTTGCAAGAATTAATTTGAAAGGTGCAGAGTTCTTTATTTTTAAAATTACAAACATCTAATTGGTAGTTTTTTGGGGGTGACAAACTGATTTTTATCAACGTATTACTACAAAATTGTTTTCTTTATTTCTAATGAAAAAAATTTGGGGAGTATATTATAGGTAGTTAAAAGTTAAAATTCCTCATTTTCAGTGTCCTATCAGTTAAGAAATAATTTATTTTCAGTAAACTGTCTTAAACACTTGTCTAGTTACTTTTTAAAAATAAGATATCTACTCTTCTAAGATACATTCTAATAGATATTTTTCTCTTAAGCTGAAAACAGCTGTTCTCCAGATTATTTCCAGTGTAAAACCACCAAACATTGTATTTCCAAGTTGTGGGTTTGTGATGAAGATCCAGACTGTGCAGATGCATCTGATGAAGCCAACTGTGGTGAGTGTTTTGAGACTGTCGGTATGATGTCTTTGTACTTGCGTTGTCATCGGAGACGGCCATCATGAAGCAAATTTGAACACAGTTTGGATAAAACTAAGGCTTTACATAAAATACTTTATCTCTGTGTTTATAGAGTTATAGCAAACTTAGGTTAGCTGTTTTACAGAGAGCATGGGAGTAACATGAAAGAATAAGTATTGCTTGGTTTAACACAAAATTATTTATGAAACCAAAACCTAATGGATAAGAAGGAATAGAGAGCAAAAGCATTTTTTCTGTTTTAGTAGATTACAATGATCACTTGTTATCATTTGTTTAAAAAACTTAATATTTTCACTCAAAATAAATTATTTTACTAACAATGTTTGTTAACATTTCCGAATCAGAGAATATATTCATTTAGTTGAATGCATTTTATTTTATTTTGAATATGTCAATAGTGAGATGGGAATGAAGAGTAGTTCCTATGAGTGACTCATTTCATCAATATTTATTAAATATTCATTGAGCCTATTTTGTAAGCAAATATACCAAGTTGACATTGTTAGAGAAGAGAAAGCCTTTAATCCTGTAAATGATTAGAAAAGACAAAGTTTCTATAACCTACACGTAGGACTTTGGCTTCATGAGTCAGAATTGCTTATAGGCACATTTGTTAGATTCCATACTTCTCTTATGTAACTTTATGGGGGAAATGAAAATAATGAAAAACCCTTAGGATCTCTGAAATTCCATTTATGTTAAATAACAAATATGAGTTACATGTATAATTTCTGGGATTTATAATAGGTGCTGATGTCATTTTCCTAGTACTGCTTTCCATATGATTGTGTCATTGGAAGATAGAGCCATGATACCTTATTGACAGGATAATGCAACTATCATTTGCCACTGAAATTGATGATTAAAGTTAATTCACAAAACCTCAAATTATATTCAACATCAATTTTTCCATAGTAATTGTTAAGAAATTTAGTAAGCTAGTTAATGTTAGCAGCTAGTTTGGTCTTTGTCTTTTACATTTTCTTTTGTTTTCTTTCTCCTTTTATTTTATCATTTTTACATTTACTTACATGTATACATTATCAAAGCAAACTGGAATAATAACTCACTTATTTTGAATAATTTCTTGGCTGGAGTATTATATCTATATTTGTATCTTCCTCCTCAGTTTGGCATTATATACTTGTTTTTGATAGATTATTTTGCATATACATAAGTGTGTATGTATAATGCTTGGCTAATTTTCTTTAATTAATGTGCCAGCTGTAATCATAACAGGATTGTCTTGTGAAAAAAACTTATGCTTCCTATAGTAACTTTGTAATTTCCATTGCCTGCTTTTTTCAACATGACACTGAATTCATTCAAACCCAAAGGTAGAAGTGCTCAACATGTGCTTCTATTTTCCCTAAATGTGCAATCAGACTACTCATCCTATAAGAAAGTATCAAGCTACAGATTCAGCTGAGTGGAGTGTTTTTGTAGCATACTCAAGGCATGGGTTCAATCCTCAGTGCTGACAAAAACTCAAAACAAATAATAAATTGATATTTTTAAATTACAGCAATTGCATATTAAATTATAAAATATTTCAAACATGCAGGCATGTATAGAAAGTTATAAGCAGAAGTGTCATCTGAAATTTTTATGAGATTTTAACAGTTTGCCTGAGACATCTTTCAAACCATTCAAATTTTTACAGTAACATTTCTGACATTTCTCCTCTATTCCACCGGCAGTTCTAAAGTCATTGTGTATCATTCATATGTATACATATATATTATCTTTACTATATAAACATATAGCCACTAATATGTATAAAAGCCTTATAGAATTTTTTAAAAATTACATAAATGATGTCATATTTTTAGGTTATGTTGAAATTAGTGTTTTCTAATATTCCCATATACTAATGTACATAAATAATTTCTTAATCCATTTTCATACTGAATGTTATTTCTACATATTACAATTGTCATGCACTTATTAGCCAATTAAGCGCAAAATGTTTCATTACAACCTTTGCTACAGACACTTTTCATGAAAGTTCATTTGACTCAGAAGTGGCAACATACAGAGGCGGGACTCTGGTAACCCTGCAGTTAGTAACAGGCTGAAGTATAGTTAGGATGGAGGGCTTGGAATGAGTCTGAAGAGGGAAGCCCCAGTGTTGGTGACATAAATTGTGATAGTTCAGTTTAGTCATTTGTGAATTTAGTTAGTTTTGAAAAGTTGCATCAACTTACACTTAGAATACCACTTAACAAATGATAGTTACAGATTTCACAGTAATCCATGTGGGTAAATTCTGTATGATTGTATACAAGAAAGGATGATGTACTAAATTCTCTATTCTGGAAAACAAACAGATTTCCAAGCATTTTGCTATTACATCAGTGTTGTGAATCAGTGTTTCTTATATTTAAACATAGGCTGCAAGTTTATGTAGTATATTTTGAGTAGCAAAGAAATGAGCTGAACATCCTCAAGTGCCTTGACTCTGTTACATGGCTGTGACTTGTGAGTGTAGCTGGTGCAAGGAGGAAGTGGAGGTTGTTGTTGAGGAAGGCTGTTAGGTGAAAGACTACATTTTCCACCATACTGTTCTTAGATATTTAGGTAGTAGTGATTATGAGAAGGAAAAACAGCCTTATAGCTACACATTCTCTAGAACACTGTGGGTCTATGTTGAGTGCTTCGTCTGTGTCCTAGCCTGTGCACAGAGTACGGACATCACCACCCATTCTCTGAGCATACAGTTCCATACACTGCCAAATCTCCATCCCTCATGAGCTGCTGTCTAGTATTCAGTTTCTGCTGGTACATAAAACCTCTTGATCCATGATTCTCACAGAAGCACATGATTCTGCAAATCTTGTGAAGACCCAGGAATACCATCATCACCCACTTATCACAGAATTGCTTCTGAATTGTGGTAACTGTGGCATGTACCCAATACAAGATGATTTTTCCAGAAGCTAGCCTCTGCCCAAGATAAATGTGGTCAGTATGACTTTCATCTGCTCAGTGTTCTTGGCTTATTGCATATCAAGCTGGATACTACACTTATATCTTGAGGACAGGTGCAGATAAATTCTAGCTACTCAGAAAACACTCCTCTTCTCTTCTCTCAACTTCTCAGGAACCAGAAGCAAACTTTTTACTTTCTCTTCCTATCTGAGAAACTCCCACATCATATCTTATTCTGTTCTTTAGGCAGCACTGGTCCACTCCACTTGTATCCTGGCAAAATACCTGTGGAACAATATAACACATGAGATAAAGAATCTAAAACCACATTGTTTTACTGTTTTCATCTTTTTATCCTATACTTGTCGACTACAGATGATTGTTAAAACAATTAAAAAGCACTAAACATTTTAAATCAACATTATCTCTCACAGCACATTTTGACATACTATCTGATATGTAGGTATCACTAGAGTCTATGTTGTTGATAATTTGTCTAAATCTAAATCTTTTAAAAATATTATATTATATATTGCTCCTTTAAAAGCATGATATATACATATGCCATAATCTTTATTAGTGGAAATTTTATAATAGTAAGTAAACTTACATATTTTTAAAACTTGAAAGTAATTGTAATGAAATTGTTTTTTCAAATAATGTGGTAGTGTGGGGAAAATTATTTGCTATGTATAAAGAAGCTTCTATTAATTTAGTATGTAATAATTTATACTGCTTTTATATTGCTATATTTTGTAAAATTTTCAATATATCTTGTTTTCTCTCATCTATTTATTTCACAAAACTCAATCTTTTCTCCTTTTTTGGTCAGTGACACTTGTTTGTGTACCTGCATTTTTACATATATATAGGAGCAAAAGAGAAAGCAAGAGAAAACCTCCTTTTTGTTGAAATGTTTTCATTCCAACAGTGCCCATGAAGGAAAGCCTGTCTGTATGAATGGGCCCAGGAAATTTCTTTGTAGTTTTCATAAAAAAAAATGAAGGACTTATATGTGAATCATAAAGTAGTCTAAGTGAATTGAACACACTTAGTCTTTGTTTAGCTTTCATGCATTGACTACTGGAACTTTCATGCACAGATTGTCTCTACGAAAATAATGTGCAATTATTTATGTTTCTTCTTTTAAACTTTCTTCTCTTAACAATAAGAGGAAACTGTGAGATTTAAATTTTGTTGCACAAAGCTAAAAAGGAGCCCACACAGTGAGTCAAGAGGCATGGTGAATATTCTAGACTATGGAGAAATGTGTAGTGAAAGCCATGAGAAGAAATCACTTTTTATCCAGTGGGATTAAAATTGAATTCACTAAGCTGAATTTTTTAAAAAGATATTGTTGCAGGAATTTAATATTCTGGGATATTTTTGTTTGAAAAAACTTCATCCTTATTGTACTGCTTTTCTCACTGTTTGCCAACACCAATGCCTGCCAGAGCATTCCTGTATAATATAGAATGCATGAGTTTTTAGTCCCAAAAAACCCCTTAGATTTGTGCATATAAGTTAAATCAATTTGAGGACCCAAGTTTTACCATATTTCACTTATGCAAAGGCCATTCCTTTTCAATCATTAACACACTGGGGCATAATATAAAAAAGAGAAGGAAAGAACTATTTTAAAGTAATAACTGTGTTGTCTATTGGCTTTGTAGTCTATAAATACTGAACAAATGTATGTTGATGATTCTGATGTCCTATTCAGGCTTAAATGCATTGCCTAGGATTTGACACTGGGCAAGAAATTATTCATTAAGGTGCTCTTTACATGCTCAGGGGCCATGTGGAAAATGATAGAAGTAGAAGAGGTGAAGTAGGTTTTCATTTGTGATAACTGGCACCTCTTGCTGGATTGTTGATTTGAAAGTAAGCTATTGTTTATCCTTATTGTCAATTAAAATATTAACCTTCTGAATAATATTCCCACTTCTACAAATATCCTAATAGATATTATAAAAAGACTATCCACAGAAATTCTCTATGAAGAATTTCTTTTGACCTAAAAT